TAGTACGTACGTTACAAAAGACACACCTCAGCGATGTGGGCTTGTCTATTTATTGTTCTCTGTCTTTCTTACGAACTTGAAGTAGAAAATTGGCGATTAACACGTCTAGATCTCTTGCATCAATATTTTCCAACTCTATCCGCTCATTCCTGAAACTAAAAACCTTTTTCAATAACGACACATCTCTCCGTGGTTTGGTTAATGTGTTCTTGTTTCCTTGATGCTACACAAACTCTTGAAACGAGCAACCAACCGACACAACCTGTTATTATTTTCCTTCTTTCTTTGTGGAAAAAAAATTTCGAGACACCACTAAAAAGCTGCCAAATGTGGAAAGCCATTTGAGATGCAAGTTGGATGAACGACTTTGATTGGCTCAAAGGCATTTATGCTGTCGTTGATTGGTTATACATCCACATGTGAAGACAGCTGTATGCCATTCTGATTGGCTGTGTAAGGTTTTCTCACATGTGAACATAAAGTGTATAGATTTCTACAAATAAGCTTTACGAAGTGAAGTTCTCGTGATACATGTAATAAACAAACTTATTGCAGCAGGAGATGCAGGTATGTTGTGTGTATTTCATTGTAACTATGAATGTTATATCATTAGTAATATTGAAGTATATGAACGCAGGAAAGTGTATACTTAGAGAGGAAAGCCATGCAAATTTGACCAAACAACATTTTACGTAATATTTCAAAAACGAGCGCAAGGGTTTTACCAGGGTTTCCACACACGAGAAAACTGATGAAAGCCCAAGGCCGTAACGGCTGAGGGCTTTTATTGTTTTCAGGTGTTTCGAAACACCGGTAAAACATGAAGAACAAGTTTTTGAAATGGCTTCTCAATCAGCGCCTAATTGCAAACAAAAGAAAAAAAGAAAACAAAAGAACAAATGAAAGCAAAAATCACATAACCACGTGATTTTTGCCTTCTTTTGTTTAATCAGGGCATAGTTTGTGATGATAATGTCCGTGTTTTTCACAACTGAAGTTTTTTTATTTCAAGTAGTCACAATTTGCATTCAGTGGCATTCTGCTAGTTCCAAAACATGGACGGGTTAGCTGAGGATGAATCTTGCCGGTTTCAACCCCCAAAAGTGTGCAAGAAGAAGATCCTTTGCTTGTACAGTCCAAGCCTAAAAGTACACAGTAAAAAGACAGGTGGGCCGTTGAGGTTTTCAGAACTTGGCAAGCAGGGCACGAGCAAAAATTCTGTATACTTGATGTGGGAAGCGTGTTCAAAGTTTATGATGTCCACTGTGTGCTAAGTCTCGAAAAGAAGTTGGAGGACCTGGATAGTCTTTCCCTAAACTATTGGCTCACAAAATTCGTCCAAGAAGTTTCTAATAAGAACGAAGGTCACTATCCGTCTCCTTCCTTGTATGGAATTGTTTGTGGCTTAAAGCAGTATTTGGAGGACGTTAATGGAGGAAATGCAATTTAATTTGTACCTTGGTGATTGTAGAATTTTCATCATAAGTTTTTTATCGACGAAGGATGCTGGCACAGATGCTGATAATGACTACAGTGACGAAGAAGACTGGATGTGGAATTTACCTTTGACAGCCTCGACCATAGTCAATGCAGATGATGCCGCAGAGTCCCCAAGGAAATTTACTGCTGAAGCAGTGAAGCCGTTAGCCATGCAGTTAGAAGTTGACAAAAGTTCTGACCTTAAACAGATGCTGAGGAGATACAAATACCCTTCATTTGACTTAACAAGGCCACTATGTGTAGAAATTAAAGTAACAAGAGAAGGTTTCCTTTTAGGATTGGAGTCACTGATGGCTGTAATGGTCTGCCAGGACTATCCCCAGGGGTCAGTCTTGCTCGGAATCCAAGGTCATGAAGGTGCATTATCATGATTTGAGTGTTGAAAAGGGTCATTGTAATCTGACCTCTGGGGAAATTTAAGCATGAATGGTTGTCACTTAAAGCAAAAAAGAGGGAAAACCAAAAACCAATAGTGCCTTTGATTTTGATGCTAGCATGTTATTTAAAATCGCTCCTTACCAAGTTGCATTGGTTCCCGATTTAGTCTAGAATTGTATAAAAGATTCTTCTGTTAACTTTCAAGACCTTGCATGGCACAGCTCCCACTTACTTGGAGTCACTGATATCTCTGAAGCCTGTCATGATATAACCTGAGATGTTCTAATGACATGCTCTTGCTTCACCAAGCCGGCTTCAAATCTAAAGCGACACTTGGTGACGGGTCGTTTACTTGCACAGCATCAAAACTGGAATGCATTGCAATTTGAAGTAAGAGACTCTAGACCGTTGGAAATTTTTGCCTTAAAGTTAAAAATGCACCCTTTTCGGTCAGCATTTTTATCATAACCTGGATCACAATATCATAGTAGCATTAGTATTAGTAGGCAGTATTAGTATTAGCATTTTTTTATAGAAGTATTAGTTATTGTATCCATTTTCCCACTGCAATTTTATTGTGAAGCTCAATTGAACATTGTATGGATTTTGTGCTATACAAAATTTAATTCATTCTCCTTCCTATTATTATTTACATAGCAGACAAGGGACCGTGCAAGGAGCGAATCGACTCAACCCATTCTATGTGAAACCCTTTGTTGACGGGGATGTAAAGGTTTGCGGTATTGAGGTATTGGGTTATTTTTGGTGCAGTTTTGCGGTAATTTTTATTTCAAAGTACGGTATTGCGGGTTTCAAAGTCCAAGCGGTATGCGGTAATGTTAAATTTTATGTAGCGGTACTCGGTGAAAAAATTGTTGTCTCGCGGTGATCTGCTTCCTGAGTCCTTTCTTTTTTAAAGCATGACAACTATGCAATCCTAAAAGGAGTCCTAAAATGTCCTAAAAGGTCTCCCTAGCGAGCCTACGTGTCTTCCCAGTTGCACAGTCGGGGACCGTATTGTGCAAGCAGACAAATCGTATGGCTTGTAATTTCAGTTAATACTTTATATGATTAACGACATTAACCTTTTTATCCAATGATACGGTAACATGTCGCATTATTTTATGACCTCATTGACCTTAAGGGAATAGTCCGCTGGGCTAACCTTATCGGACCTTTTCGACCTTACCGGTTCTTTCATGCCAGTCACGAAACAATGGCGAGCGATCCAGAAGATCGGTCAGTTAATCCAGCAAATAGCGAGGTGGTTATAAATTGCATAGCATTTTTCTACGAAGAAGGAAAAGGGGGGGAAAATTACAGGAAAAAAAACAAGTTCTGTTGTTTGGTAAAGCGAGGGGAGAAGAGGCTGGTAAAATTCAGGGAAACCGTTTGGTAAGTACTATCTTCTTAAACTTAATCCTATCCTACCTTAAAAGTACATCGATTATCGACATTATCCTGTCCTTCAGTCTACTTAAAAAAATACTGATAGTTATCGGTCCTTATCGTTTATGAGCTTCACTGAAAGGCCACCAAAACGCTTCAAATTCTTCAACTGACTAGCATGACGCAAAGACCCAAATATTTTGTTGGATCATCGATGACCAACGAGTCTGACTTTGGTGGTATAATGTCTGCAACGATCTAATCCTGTGGTAAATAGAGCGAAATTTATTTTTACTACTAACCGCGAAAAACGAAAAACTGCTTGGCATCCTTGACTGTTTCAATATAGGTCATAATATAATAAAGAAATGAAGCAATTGAGATTACCACCCCATTGCACATCTGTCCACATCTCAGTGTTACTGTTGATTATTAATTATTAACTTTGCCCTTTTTATCTTAAATCAACTAAAGATCTGTACGAAATATCCACTTTAACATCTCTCTAGCTAGCATCTTCAGCTTTTACATTTTTTAGAGACAATGAAATTTTTCAGCCAAATTCAACGGTCTAAACAAAGAGACTGTAATATGACTTTTCACTTATTTTTTGATCTTTTTTTGCTTGTAAAATGATGGGGGTGGGTGTCTGAACACAATTGCAATAAATTCATCAGTGAATTTGCACACCGAGTTAATTACATTGAGCAATACACTGTAGAATGCAGAAATATCAATTTTTGCTAACAAATACACGACATATGGCCCCCAAAACCGGGCAATCAAAGAGGAACAACACTACACTAATGCAGGAAACTCTCTTGCAAGACTATCACAGTATCTGCTCAAAATTTTGCATTTTAGCCTACACAAGAAACACAACTCATGCTGGGCTCGCAAGGATCTTCGATGTAAACACACAATTGGCCAAAACATAAAGAGCCAATAGAAACACAGGATTTTCGATCCTTCGAACGAGTATAAAATGGTCAAGGAACACTCTTTTTGTGACTGATACCGAGAACACATCTCTATCAGTCTTTCTATTCAATCGGCAACTGACAAGATCCACAAGATTAGGATCAAAACTGCTTTCTTGCCTAACCACTCACAGAAAATGTGGGAAAACATTATAACGTCAGATGGGCTACTAAGTGCCCCGGGCACAAGCAATGCCTTTGAGAATGAGGACAAGATGGAAGTCTCATACGACATCGCTAACAAGGATGATCTACTCGGCAAGTCCGATGACGATGAACAAATCCCTCCGTATCAAGTGCCTAGAAAACCTAAACTGCCTAAACAGCAATGCCAAAGCCGCGACAGGCGCCCTCAAAGGAGTACCAGTGAACCAAGGACAGAACAGTACCGAAAACGTTGCCGCCACAGCCCATCCACAGAGAATCGTAAACGGAGCCATAGTCTATCCACGGAGGACAAGATTAGCCAAGCCGAAGGTGCGATCATAGCTTTAAAGAGGCAAACGGACAGGGGAACTTGCCCAGAAACCCTACAATATAGGGCGAGGGCCAAAATAACAGTGGACGAGGACTTCAAGAGAAAGATAAAACAAATCTGTAACGCGGAGCAAGAAACACTCAATGCGCTTATATGATTCCATCAACGAGAAATCGGCCGTTTTAAGGCCGAAACCAAGAGAGGAAAGCGAGCTGCACTGGCTATAGCACTGAACACTAAGAACTGTAGTACGATCAAACCAGCGCGCAGCGCAAGCTGAAAACAACCTAACGATCGAAACAGTAAAACACATTGCTGTTAACCTCCAGGCACAAATCGCCCAGTTCGGCAATATGATGGAAAAACTAGGAGCAATTGAAAATAAAGATGTGCAAAAGTACACGTGTGTATTCTCTGACTCCCACCACAAACATGGGGCCAAAAAACAAATGTTAAAAGCCAAACGGCTAGCAACTAATAAGCGCAAAGAGCACAGAAAGGTCAGACGCCAGAAACGTTCAACTATCACAATAGAGGCGAACAAAAAACACATAAAAAACCTCTCAAACAAAGAACTTACAAATGACCAGATTAATTTACTGGCAAAAGGGCTTAAATTCATTCCAACACCCATTACAAAACAAACACAAATCAGGCAACAACTCTTGCGTGACTTTCATCAGTTTGCAAGACGGATGCGTCTAATGTACATATTTTAAGGGGAAAACAACGAACCCCATCCTTACCATGTCAAATCTGCATGGGAACCACCAACACAACGAACAGTAGCCCTTAAAAGTTATCTAGAAGAGGTTAAGAGCGACCTTGCAGAAATAGAAATAACAAAGCCAAAAAATAATCTGCCTCCAGCTGAACGTGAGGCTCTCAGAGCCCTAAAACATGAAACTGAAATCAACCTTAAAAACGCCGATAAAGGAACAACAACAGTAGTCATGAACACACAAGACAAAATTAAAGAAGGCCAAACTCTACTAGACAACAAAGACAAATACAGGCCTCTTGCATCACCCATGGTCACTGAGACAAACCATAAAGTTAGAACATAGACATGACTAAAAAATGGCTTTGTCAAACACCAAATCCGCCTCCAATTTCAGAATTTTACACCCTCACTTAGATACACAAGCCATCCCCGGTCGGCAGACCTATAGTATCAGGGTGTGATGGCCCAACGGAGAAATTATCATCATTTGTCGACAAACTCCTTCAGCTGATAGCACAACAACAAAAGTTGTATCTTAAAGATACTACCGACTTCGTCAATTGCATAGAAAATACGAAAGTCCCAGCGGACGTCATACTTGTTTCAATGGACGTTACGAGCTTGTATACAAATATACCGCAAGAGAAGGGAATAGACACGGTATGCAGAGCATACGAAATATTCTTTAGAAACGAACCTCCTATCCCAACACAACTACTAAAACGAGCGCTGAGGCTAATTCTCCAAGAAAATTCTTTCCAGTTTAATGGAAAAAACTACCTTCAAACACATGGTACGGCCATGGGCACAAAAATGGCAGTCGCCTTTTCTAATATATTCATGAACAAGGTAGAGACGGAAATCCTTAGCCTAAGCCTTTTTAAACCGCTCCTTTGGAAACGTTAGATAGACGACATCTTCTCGCTCTGGACTACAAACAGAGACAGAATAGAACATTTCATTGAACAAGCAAACAATCATCACCCTACAATCAAATTTACGGCTGAAATTTTCGATAAGCAAACATTCCTAGACACCTACATCTACAAAGGGGATAGACTCGAAAGAGACGCAATCCTTGATGTGCGTACTCATTTCAAACCAACTGAGACATTTCAGTATACCCATTTTGCTTCCTGTGAGCCGCAAGGAGTTAAAAAAGGCTTCATTAAAGGGGAAGCCCTCCGACTCCTCAGAACAAACTCTTCCAAACTAATATTCGAAGAGAAAATTACAAATTTCAAAGCGCATCTGCTACAGAAGGGTTACCCAGAGGATCTTATGAACACAACCCTCTCAGAGGTGAACTTCAAAGACAGGAAACTAGCCCTTCAACAGAAACCAAAGACAAACCAACAAATCTTGTGTTTTGTCACACAATACCAACCATCAGTGCTAAACCTAAAGCAAATTCTCATGAAGAGTTGGCATTTAATAGAACAACAACCATTACTGAGCGAAATCTACAAAAACCCGCCCCTCGTATCTTATAAAAGAGGTCGGTCGCTCAAAGACATACTCGTGAGAGCCAAACTATAAAAAGGCTATTTTAAACACGTGCTGAGGAGTCGTGTAGGCCTGTCAACTCCATTTTACACTGTCTGCTCTACTGACCACAGAAACGCCGTAGCTGGGTCGTAGACTGGGTCGACGTCTTGAAAACCTTTCAACACAGAACAGTGTCAATTATGAACATGAAACAGCCTCATAGGAGTCAACTGTTTTCCGTCAGAGTTTATGATCCAGGTTAGCAAGAAGGTTAGTAATAATAATATGCCTGTTGTATCATTTACGTATAAGCGTTTAATGAACCAAAACGAGTCGGTCATATGTTTATCTCACGCTTACCATCGACGCACCTTGATTTGGAAACACTGACATAAAAATATTATTGCTATTTTAAAGACGGAACTGTTAGTTTTCAGAACGGCAACTTTTCTCCATTTGTTTCGGTTTCGGTATTCGGGTAAATTTTGATGCGGTATTGCGGTTTTCTCTCTCTACCATGTGCGGTATTGCGGTATTCTCGCGCTACCACGTGCGGTATTGCGGTATTCGTACCCCCCTTACGACCCCCCCCCCTTTGTTGGTATGCGGCCTTTGACACTTGGACACCATCTGTGCAGTGCATCCCACAAATTGTGTGTACAGGTGGAGCTTACTCAGCGAATATCCCAGGTTCACAAGTTGTGTGTACAGAAGATGCTGCTCAAAATACCACCATGCAATACATGACCTAGGTCTTGCAAGAAAAGTGATGAAGGAATGCAAGAAAACAATGGAGGACAAAAAGCCTTGGAACGGCTTTTGAAAACTCTCCTTCCCCATCTGTAACATATCAAATATGCAGATGTAGCATCATATGCACTTCTGTAACCTCACCCCTCCAAACAATGTTGGGGGTGAGGGGGAAAGGGGGGAATTAAGACAGATCATGTTAATGACGATTTAGATGGCACGATTTTTGCTTATGACTATTGTGCGCAAGTAACATACATAATAACTTCACAACAAATTGTGTCATGTAAATTAGACCCAAGACATCCAAACGACAGATGTTCACAACTTGAAAGATGTCATAGCAATTTGAAACATGTTTTCAAATCTTGAGACAATCATAGACACGTACGATAAACAAATGACTTGTTTGACGATTTTTATGACAATTCAGCCGGCGTAAAAAAATGCGTTCCTTCTGAACATATTATGGGAACGAAAGGAATAGCAAGACAAGTGGTACTTGAACCAAACATGTGTACTTGTCCAAATGGCCTTATTTTACAGCTCTGCATTTCCTGAAGGAGAACATCACTCTACGAAAACTGCCAGTAATTTAGATGGTAAAGAAATGCAGTCAGTGTTGTTCCCACTGACATTTCCCCAGAAAAAGCTAGTGTCGTCCCTATCAATAGCATGTCAGGCACTAACTCAAAAGTGAAAAAGAAGAGGGCAACTGCAGCTTTGGAGGAGGATGAGCCTCTTGCCAACTGTCTTCTGTCTTGCAAACTAAAGTGTCCCAAGAGTGAAGCGTCCGATGCAGATGGCACATTTGACCTCCGAGTGAAGGGCTAGTCATGACTTTACGATCAGGCTACCATCCTCTTCAGTCGACGCTTACAAACACTTTTTCTATGTGAGATCAATCCCTGCGCGGAACGCTTTATCAGCTGATGTTGTTAGTTTGGCATCTTACCCAGAATTTATCCAAAGAGTGTCCACTACTTTAGCATATTAACTTAATCACATTGTTTTGTTTTCATACCATGTAATTCAATACCATGTAAATGTTTCATTGCAATTTCATACCATGTATTTGAGCGACCGCTGGCTGCTCCATTGCTGGATTAGCATAAGTGCTATTGCCAATTACTTTGATTAAAGATAAAGATAAAGAGCAGCTTCCATGTAAAACAAAAATGCCTGCCTACCAAATCCAGTTAGAGAGGGAAATATAGCAATTATTATAACAGAAACAGAAAAACAATACATCTTGATATTTCACAAAACACATTGGTCGATGTGACAATATGGCAAATTTGTAACATCATTACTGTAATGAAAATATATTGAATATAAAATTATATAATAGATTACAAAAGTGAAATATTTATACACGAGTCACACTATATTGTTATTGAAATGTACGGGGAAAAAAGCAAGAAAATATTGATTCACGATCACTCTGTCTTAAGTTTTGTCCATCTTGATATTGCAAGAAATACATTGGATTGATACTGACAAAAGACGGAAATCTTTTACCATCATTTTAGTGACATTATTATAGATTGTCATATCATAAAAGATTATTTGAAATTCTCTATAGATAAGGCACAATACATTGTACTTGAAATGTACTGAAAACAAGCAAGAAAATATTGATATGATGATCACTCACTTTTGTCCAACAAAAGTTCCTATGAAATGTGAATTGATGCTTCAGTTGGTCTTGTCAATGTTTACACTGTACCTTCACTGAGATAGAAGGTTCTGCCAAGTTGGGTAAGTTCAACATATTTAGCAAAATAACTTTTTTTACGTAATACTATGAAAACTACTGTTAAAACAGCGGCCCACCACTCTTTTATTTAGTAAGTTACTTCAAACGATGATGGGATTTTCATGAACTTTTTATGCAGTTTTCATGGAACAGGTTTACCCCATGAAAAAAACTACTGTCAAATGATTTAATTTTTTTTATGTGCCTTTAAAATACCATGAAAAAAGCTATAAAAGAACTCGGAAAATTCCCATGGTCTGTTAAAAAACCCCAGTTCAGGGGTTTTTCGTGTGCCATTTAATGCGCCAGGAGCATGAAAACTCCATTAACGTGGACCAATGAAAAAGCTGCTGATTTATCCATTACTTTTTTAATGGCCCATTAAAAATTGTGCCACATACTCTTAAAATTCTTATGATGTTCTCGTGGTTTATTTAGTGTTTTTTTTTGAAATTCTGAACGTTTCATAGGTCATTAATTGGGTATTTTTAAGGGCATTTTTATGGTGAAATCCAATGAATATCCTCTTATCTTTACCCATGAAAAACCTTTGGAACAGCAGGGTGAAAGCTATGAATTTCTGATGAATTTTATGGCCAATATTTTATGGCTTGGAGAAAGGGGATTCTTAGTGACAATCATAAGAAAGTGGGAGTACAATGTGCATGTACGCTGAAGCAGGAGCTGATTAGAAATCCTCATTTCTGGAAAAATGACATTTTTTTTTACTCAGACAGAGTATCATTTGTTCACGAGTGTAACCCTAAAAGTGGTGTGGCCTCTTTCAGAGCCATGGTGTGTGAAAACCAGAGGAGGGTCTTCAACTTACAGCCAAAGGATGCAAAGAATTAGCAGGTGGACGGCGT